TTTTAAATAAAACGAAATTTTCAATATTAATAAAATCAATCTTACCTTAAGAGTCGAATTTTTCTACTTTAAATTATATGGAAAAGTCATGTTATCGTTAAAAATATCTCCAAGAGAATTTTATTTAAACTTTTGATATAGACCAGAACTTTGAAGAGCGAAGAATAAATAAGGTTAGTTATTGAAAGCATTGCTAAGGATGCGCGATTTTGATAAGAATTGTTGAAAAGGATGAGGTAGAATCCCATTGAAAAGAGACTGGTTTTAAAGCGTGTTTGAGGGCAATGTTTTTACAGAAACAAAAAAACAATTTCTCTTTGTTGTCGGAAAAAAATTCAGCTGCCTACACAAAAGAGTAAAATGTCTTATTTTTGTTAGAAATAAAACGAATAACCGTTGCGTTTAACTAATAATGGTTTCTGTATATTATTATAATAAAGTTTTTTATTATTTTAACAAATCGCATGTTAAATTGCCAGGCACGTTTATAAGGGTTTTCCACTGCAGTTTTAAACGTGTTTTCACTTAAATAAGATTTTCACAAGTGAGAATTTTAAGATAAAGATAGTTTAAGAGTTTTCTTTATAACCAAACACTAAAGCTGCTGTGGCTCAAAGAATTGTGTGCTTGTGTCCCAATGAGATGAACCGGGTTCGAATCCCAGCGTTTTACACAAATTTAACAAAGTTTTTTAAGCAGTGCACAATTCTGTAAAAAAATAGTAATTTTCTAACATACAGTTCAAATGATTCTTTTGAAGATTTCTTCTGACTGACTGAGAAAAAAAACTTGGGGATTTTTAAGTATTCTGAACACATGGAGTGAACTGAGGCCATAAGTTTTTTTCCCTTTATTAGTTTCTTTCCCATTCTCTCCCATTAATCATTAAGGGGGGTCATCGACATATTGACAAAAGTACTGTTATGTTGTGAAAGCTATGAGACATGCCTTATTTTTTGGAATAATAAATCAGTAGCTAAGATGATGAAATTTCAGTTAATAATAAAATACATTATGAAATGGCTAACATGGTCAATTGTACTAGTCTCATTTTAATAATCGGTCCTTACTATTTAATCAAAAATTTAAAAAAATTTGCTCTGTTTATAAAAGAAGCAAAATTTTTTTTAAATCAAGTTAGCTCTGAATTAAATGATATTCTTATTATAGGAAAGGGTCACATAAAATTTTTTCTATTACTGTGTATTTATACTAAGCGATCATATTTTAAAAAAATCTAAGGAAAGATATTTTTAAATCAAAATAATATTTTGATTTGCGAAAAGGAAATATTTTGACAAAATCAGTAATAATTTAGTATAAATATGGGTAATAATGATTGATAAAAAAATCAATGAAATATTGATCTTTTAAACCAAAATAAAAATACAAAGTGTTAAATTATATATTTTTTTTCCTGAAAATATAATTTTTTAAGACAGATCTAAGAACATTGTTTAATGATGTTTCGTTTGTGTTTTACTATTATTATTTTATTATTTTACTGTGCTTTATTATCAATGGTGAAAAATATTACTCAAAATTACTTTTATTAAAATATTCGTTGCATTCTTCTTCTGAAAAAAAAAAACAAATTTATTTTCGTTAAAAGTGAGGAAATCTATTCATGGCTAGAAATTGAGCCTGTGAATTTATTTTTTACCAATAGCAATTTAATCAACGGGTTTAATCTAGGAACACGATATCTTGTTTTAATTTTCAGATTATATTTGATGGCTTAAAAAGATAATACTTGCTGTTGAATCAGTCATAGTTGTTTTATATCTGCAGCAAACTTTTGAGTAAATCCTTGGTTTAAACTAGTAAAATATAGTAAATTAAGCTGGTAAATTAAATTGAAAAATCAGATCTTTCTGAATATACCCAATTTTCCTCTTACTCAATATAAGTGATATTCTTATTTGCAACGTTTTTCTTCAGATCTTTGGAACCAGTGAGAGGAATTAAATTATTTTTGACCAGATAAAATTTTTTTATCCAAAATTCATACTATACAAAAATTGTTTTCAATAATCATTTATTCCGTGCAATTATTAGACAAAAAAAGGTTGATTTAACATTTGATAAATTAAACTATCACTCCTTATGAAAGATTTGAAAGAAAAAATTGGTATGATAAGGAAGCATAATATAATTAAAATAAAACTGTTTTTAAATATCTAAATAATATGAGAATTTAATGATATGCTAGTTAAAATAACTAGGATGATAAATTAAAATTACACTTAATACATTTTTTCCGACTTATATAATTTATTCAGTAGGTTTATTAAAAGATCCTAACCTTTTTAGTGTGTTTGCAAAATTCCTAATATTGTACTGTTTAGCATTCTTTATTTCGTTATATTACTCGTAATAATAAACGATTACTACTGTAAATTATTTATCGTAATTCAAGAGTAGTCAGTAAATTTATTTTTTATGAGTTAAAACAATCAGTTTCAAGCTTTGTAAGAATGTTCAAAAAACTCTTTTCCTTAAATAAATTTCTTATACATTTTAACTTTTTTTAAGAAATTAAAAAAATTAATTTCTCAAGATTCTTAAATTTGCTTGTTCTTATAACAAGACAAAGATTTATGCGTAACAACAAATGCTGAAATTATAAATTTTAAATAAATAAATAAATTGAAAAAAGACTTTAAAATACTTTGATGGAGCATTTTTTTTAATAAAAGTTACCAGCGCATCCAGGCATTAAATTATTTTAACTTTAAAAATATTTATGTAATATATTAATAAAAAATATCGACTTAATATCTTTATTCCAAAAATATTGAAAGTACTTCTGAAAATTCTTTTTCTCCACTTTTTTTCCCCATCATTAAATATAAAAGATATGCAACATGAAAAAAGACGAAAAAAAAAAATCTTGCAGTAGTTAAAACTCGAAATATCTGATTACCTTCATTAGAAATTTTTACTGGAGTGATGATTAAAACTAAATCAACTTCTATAATTTTTTAATGAATTAAGTTTTAATTTATAATCTGTCGTTTACATTGAATAAAAACCTATTATTACAGTTCCAGTTTTTATATCTTATACGAAATTAAGGAATACATTTAGTTATTTTAGATCACGCATTTATTAATGTTAATCAAGAAAATGCTTCGATAAAAACATTTTCTTAATGAATATTGGAAGGTTTTTCACGAAAATTATTTACTTAACTAAGGCTTTTGAAAATATTTAAGCTGTGATATTTGCTTTTATTACATATTTAGAAGAATAACATATATTGTAAAGAAATATAATATTATAGATGCATTGCGAGATGCAATAAGATGCTGTGTAAGAATATTGAATAATTGAAGTTTCTGAACAATTTCTTACATTCTATTGTAAACTATGTCACATGGAATAGTTATAGAAATGTCATTTTATTTTCACATACAAGAATAAAAAATTTCAAATAAATTTATTTTCTGCAGCATTAGTTTTGAAAAAGAAGATTTCAGTCTTTGTAGGAATATATGCATTCAACTTTTTGAGAGATATTGTAAGCAATTTAAAAAGAGCAATGTAGTAAAGTAACTTAAAAATATATATAACCGATTGCTCTAATGACTTTTAACTTTTCCTTGTTTTCATGCTAAAAGAACTTTTTTTCTTTAATATATGGAATAGTGTTCGCAATATAAAACAAACGAATTATTTGTTATTTTAAAGGAAAGAACCAAAGAAAATGATTAAAAATGGAAGAAAAGTTCTTTTTAAAAAAGTAAATGTTTCCTTACGAATCGAGTTTAACACTTTAATTTATAAATAAGGATATTTCTTATAGTATAACAATTTATAAATTTACCATTTTATTTCTAATATTTCATTCTATATTTTTACTTCAGTCTTTCCGCAGCGTTTTGAAAAATAAAAGTAATGCAATAACATTTCAGAATCAAGAGATTTCTTCCCTCCACAACACATAAATGATCGTATTCTTAGAAAAGTTTGAAAAGTCACTGCAATTTGAAAATATATTTCGCAGGAAATGTTGGAAGGTATGTTATAGAAAATTTATAAGGAATCATACGGCATTTCTCTTATTCGAACTATTTTGCATGCTTAAAATAAATATGTTCTTATTATTTTATAGCAAAATGCATATAATAGCTAGTAGGTTCACTATTAGCTTAGGTATTATTCGTATTCTTAGAAAAGTTTAAAAAAGTAACTACTATTTGAAAATATCTTTAGCAAGAAATGTTGGAGGGTGTGTTATAGAAAACTTATAAGGAATAATACTACATTTTGTTTATTCAAGCTATTTTACCTGCTTCAAATAAATATGTTCTTATTATTAGGTTCGTTATTCGCAAAATACATATTCGCAAAATACATATTATAGCTAGTAGGTTCGTTATTAGTTTATGTTCGTAACTATATCATACTTTTGTTTGCAATTGAAATTTAGGTCTAACTTGTTCATCAGATTAAACAAAAGTCACTACTATTTGAAAATATGTTTCGCAGGAAATGTTAGAGGGTATGTAATGGAAAGCTTATAAGAGGAATAATACTAAATTTTGTTTATTCAAGCTATTTTACCTGCTTCAAATAAATATGTTCTTATTATTTAATAGCAAAATACATATTATAGCTAGTTGGTTCGTTATTAGTTTATGTTCGTAACTATATCATATTTTTGTTTGCAATTGAAATTTAGGTCTAACTTGTTCATTAGATTAAACAAAAGTCACTACTATTTGAAAATATGTTTCGCATGAAAGTTAGAGGGTATGTAATGGAAAACTTATAAGAGGAATAATACTACATTTTGTTTATTCAAACTATTTTACCTGCTTCAAATAAATAAGTTCTTATTATTCAGTAGCAAAATGTATATTATGGCTAGTAGATTCGTTATTACATTATATTCGTAACTATAAGATACTTTTGTTTGCTATTGAAATTTAGGTCTAGTTTGTTCACTAGATTTTATATGAAATCATTTATGGTGTGAATATTATCGGACTTACCTGAATTAATTCTGGAATGAAAATATCCTGTAGGCTCTTCGCGATCAAATGAATAGATCGAAGATGAGTAGTTATATGACCGCTTTATTCTATAACCAAACCTTTTGAATAACCGCCATGGGGCGTGACGTAAAAGTGGTCACAATAGAATTTCAGTGGCATCACCGACACAAATTTCATACGCCACCTGGTAGCAAGTTATACTTAGAGAATTGCCACCCTATTTTTATTTTCAATGTCAGTTAGTGAAAAAGCGGAAATCGTGCAATGATCTAGTCGCGTGCAATAAATTTAGTTATAATTCTTTTTTTTCTGCTAACATATTTGTCATGTTGGCAATTGCTTTGAAAGAATTATGATGCTATAAATGCATTTCGAATTCCGGAAACTAACCCTTGATAGAGAACTCTTCGTGGAAGATACAGGATATTTATTGTGATATTACATCAGCGTGGCATTTATTTAAAACCAATATGCAGAATTTCAATTTTAATACTTTTTTAAATGTTAACCTTTGTAAGCGTCTGGATCATTTTTAAAACGGCATCAATACATGTACAGTTGATGACTTACTTTTTAGCCCATATTTGAAGTTTTATATTATTATAGGGGACACTAAATAATAAATTAACCAATATATTTTTTAGTGTTTCCTGGTCATTTATATTTTTATATTTAGTTTCGAGCATACGTGTTAGAACTCAAAAAAGTAGTGTTTTCGAAATAAGAAAAGACTGGTAACTTGATTATTTAAAATTTAATATTGCGGAACAAAATCTTTATACTACTGATATATTGGGTTAAGCATGCTTGTTCAACCTATTATATTAGTAATAAAAAGGTATATCTAAGAATGTTAGGGTGCTATGTAGATTAAATCTACAAAAATTGTCATTTTGGTGTTTTAACACTATGAAAAGTTCTTGTTTATCGAATTGAAACTATAGTATAACTATTTCTGCACTTTTATTTATACTTCATTCATGTTTTTTTTTTAAATTTTGCTTTATAAATATATATATATTTTGTTTTAAAATTACGAAACAAATAAATATTAAAATTAAATGAAAAAATAGCAGAAATTAAGCTTAAGCAGTAATACTTTTGTTTTCATAGAGGTATGAATATAAAATATTGCGTTTTCACAGTATTAGGTCGGTTTAATTTTATTGAGGAGAGGTATTTGAAAAGATATGAAGTGTTCTACTTCATATCTTTTCAAATTATCGTATATCGAAGAAAAATTATCGTATATACTTACGATAATTTTTACTCTACTTCTTTACAAAAAAGATATAAAAAATAGTATCAATAGGCAATAAGTTACACTTCTTCCAATTGAGGCAATAAGTTACACTTCTTCCAAAGATGCCAATTTTACATCAAAATGTCTTTTTTAAAAATTATTTTTAGAATTTTAATTAGACTAGAACATAAGTCACAGAAACATCTTACTGCCTACATGTAAGGCGTAGATTTTTCACCAAAGTTTTTTTGAACCTTTTTTTCTGCACAGTTTGAAAATGCGGCTTATCATTAAGTTGCTCTGTGCCCCCCTAATATCAATATAAATATTTCTTTAAGTGAATTGAGATGTTTTTCACCATAATATAATGACAGCTTATTTACTGTGAGTTTCTTTCTTTGACTATATTAATTTGCTAACTCATTCCTTAATAAAGTAGATACTAAAGGATATGAGCTTAAATAATAAAGCTCTTTAAATTGTATTTATAAAGGTTAAAAAGAAGTGGTTTGTTTGCGGATATTTGATTTTGCCACAAATATAAGAAAAAAAAATTGCTAATATTATCTATACATTTATTTATTCTATCCTCTCATTTCAACAATTAAATTATTTTCTGTTGATGGTATTAAGCCAACACTATTTCTGATATATCTAATTTAAATTTTGAAAATATTGTCAAAAATCATCCTAGTTGCTTTAAACCATCAACATTCGAACTTGAAAAATGAACTAAATATGAAAAACAACTATGAGAAAAAAGTGGTAATGCATATTTGTTTGACAAAGTGGATACTGTTTTGTTGCCTACCACATTAGCTTTAAAATGTAATGTTTCTTGTCTTCAGAACTAAATATAAATATTTATATCATTAATATTTTATAAACAGAATAATATTTCTTCAAAATTAATTTCTACAATGAGAAGAAATTATGGTCAAAACTACCAGAATATGGTAAGATTTACAGTGTTTTTGGCTCTATGGGTATACCAACAAGCTCATTAATTTTTACCAAAGAGCTTTTGTAATGATTTGGGTAAAATTAACCGTAAAATATGGTTTAATGATAAGTGGTAAAATTTAGTAAATATGGTACATGATATAAAACCATTTAATCGATTAAATTTACTCTCCAGTTTTGTTGTTTCCACTAAATATGTAGCAATAAGAATTATAATTCTGAAAACCGGAATTTCCGGTCTACGATTACCCCGTATGAAAGGAAAAATTGCTAAACAAGAGGTTTTAAACTCCACAAATTACTTTTTTTACCAGAAATGTTTTTACTATACAGTACGGTAATTTCACTAGATTTTTTTTTCTCCGTGTATTTTATATGGTAGTACATGATTATGATTTTAATCGAAACTTTTTCTTTACTTACAGTTCAGCCAAAAATATAAGTTTCAATGTAAGGATGGCATAAAAATCGCTTATTCTTTTAAATTTACTAAGTTTTGCATTTTTTACATAATGTGCTGTAATTAGAACTATAAGTTTGAAAACCAAAGTTTCCAATAAACCGTTACCACATAAATTATGTATATTTATGTTTTATTAAGCAGAAATATGGATTTTTTAACAATAACTATCTTTACCATATAGCACAATAATTTTACAAGAATTTTTTCTCTGTTTAATGATGAAATATTTATATAAGTAATTTTTTTTAAAAAGTGTCCTTTTGAAAGGATTCTTAGCATCAATAGGCTGGTTTGTTATGACGTGACACCCTTTTATTTCTATTAAATTCAAAGCCAACTTCAGCAAAATAAACGAATAAAAACTGTCAATATCAGCTTGCTTTGATCAAATATTTACCTAAACCGTTTATTTTAAAACATATATTGCAAGAAAAACATAATTACTTTTTTTAAACAATTTAAAAAGATAGAATGTCACTGAAACAAAAACATTTGCATAGTTTTGAAAAAAGAGTGCATTGAAAAGAGTTTTTGATTATTATTAAAAATTCTTCTTCTACTTCCTTGCAAAGACATTACACAACCTAAACTTATCGTTACTAAGTTATTAACTATAAGGCACTTTTTGGTGTTAGCTTCCATGCATGAAATCAATTATAACCTTCTCATTTTACAACCAGAAGAAAAAACAAAATTTAATTTCCGGCGACGTAAAACAATAACTTCTTTTCTGATCAATAGCGTTCATTTTTCATAGTTAGTTACCATGCGTACAAACATTTTTTAGGAGTGTCCCGAAAGTTTGTAAAGTGGAGTATTTTTTTTTTAAACCAATGTGTAATTTTTTCATTGAGATCATACGGCTAATAAGATATGCAAATGACTTACTTCTACAAGACTGGATTTTCTTAGCTCGTAAGATTAATGGAGGAGAGTAACTTCATTTCGAATTTGTCTTTTTATGCCAAAGAAATTTATCGCCAATGTCATTCGAAGATAAGTTTGATTTCTTACTTATATGAGTGAAAAAAAGAGAAGCTTTGTAATTTTTTTCATTTTAAGAACACTGTTTTAAAATCTCTTTTAAATTTTATGAGTAGAACTCATTGCATTTAGACTGTCATATACTATACACTCTACTCTGGTAAAAAGAGAAAAAAAAATAGAAAATAGTTCATAAAATAAAAAACGGAACACCTAAAAATTTTTTAATCTAGCGATTGGATTTTCATGATTAATGGTGCGAAAGGCTAATATGCCAATTATTCTGTGCATACACAAACATGCTATTTTCTGAATAAGCATATGTTTTTTTCGATGAATTTTGACTGTCAACAAATGAGGGGTAATCACAATCTTTTACATTATAATCACAAGTCAGGAGAGCGTTCGAAATTTTCGACCTGTTAAGGTTAATTTCACGTTTTGCGTATTGCACCATTTCTCTGAAAATATTGAAGATATTATAAAATAATTCACTCACAGGTATAAAATTCATTAACCCAAAGATGCGCTAAAGTATTTTTTTCTAATTATTCAGGACTTTTTAATGTGAGCGAAAATGATATATTATTTTAATAATAGTCGAAAATTCTTTTAGTTGTAATGTATAAATATTTTTGCCTCATTTATTATGTCATTTGATTTATTATATCAATCAACAAGTAATATTAATAAGTAATTACACTTATAATGTTACTCTCTCAATCTTAAGAAAAATAAATTACTTTTTCCTGAAGAATAATGTAACTAAAGTAGTTTTGAATTTCCATTGCTACCTTCAAGAATCAGGAGTTATAGTTCAATAGGAATTCTTGTATCTAAATTTCTAATAAATTCATAGAATATTCTATTTTTAATCTTTTTCTTTGGATAAAAACTCACAATTTTCCAGTTTTCTCAGAAATCGAACATTTTGAAGGATTTTATTATTTTCTTTCGGAAGGCACATAAAATTCGAATGAATCATATAATGAGGTACGACCGACGTGTTCAACTGAGCTATATATCTAGGTACGATATACTAAAATGAGACATTGACTTAAAAAGAAAATATTGTATTTATCATCAAAATTTAATATATCGAATTAAAACGCTACTTCGGAGTTACGAGTAGCAGTGTTTTGGCTTTAAATATATTTGGAAGAAAACTTGCTTTAGAGCATTGCATATTGATCCTGATTGCTTAGAAAATAATTTATGTTACTGAGAACTCTATTTGAGATAATCTCTTGATGAGTTTCCTTAAGTACGTTTTTTAATAACCAGAACAAAACTGAAGGGTATAGTGCTGTAGCTAAGGTAGTATGAATTTTGCTTTATACGTAAAGTTCTAGTTTCATGTATGTAGCTTTATGTTCAGCTAGTATGCAATAGCTCTGTGGCATTTCTTCATGGAGAATGAAATTCTGGTAAATTACCGTGCTGTGACGTAATGACATTTCTGGTAAAAAAAAACACCATAATTCTGATTAAGAACACGAAAATATAAGATATTTAAACC